AAACGAAAAGGTAGATTTAGCAACTGTCAGCATTACGGCATAAAAATTTCATTCGAAGGCACCGTCGGAGATTGAAACGTTTTAAATATGTTTTGAGAAAGCTCGCGACGCGATGTCGGGCCTTTCATAAGTCTGCCGTTAACGATTTCCTCAATAGCTCATCTGTCACATTTGTTCCACATGACTTCGCATAGCACTGCTCCAATTTTTCGAGTCATTATTCGTCGAAGATAATGCCACGGTTATGTGAAGATTAAATAGTCGGCCACACAGCGGGACGAAACGAGGATATAAAGATCCTTCCGTCCTAAAAATCGTCTCAATCTTGGATAATTAGATAATTATCTTTATTAATTATCTATTATCTTTATTAATTATCTCAGGAGAGGGTTATGTAGATCGGCGAGTCAGTTTCAAAGCGGCCGAGGACGGTGACAATTTTTTTCAACAGATCCGTCGACAGGACTCAAGTCACACGAGATAGTCAAACGTAACGCCGGCTTTGGCGTTTAGGAGATAAAGCACGAGGTCGTGTACGCCTAAGCTAAATGCGAGCTAAATGCGAGCTAAATGCGAGCAAACATAGGCGTTGTAAGCGATTTGCGTATACACGTACGCTTAGGTGAAGCCACCCTGTATGCGCGCGTAAACATCCCCAAAAGCCCCGGTCCACACCGACTGCAAGACTAATAAAGTGATCAAATCGCGGTCGGGCGTTTATTGACATGTGCGATTTACCTCGTCGAGTTATCAGGAAATAATCGAGATGCAATAACTGCGAATCAGGGCAGCGTAAACCGCTGCGCATCCGATGCATTTTTCAGTACAGTCCGAACCAGGTCGAGGTTCCAGCTCAATTCAGCCTCAATTTTCCACTCGTCAGAAACGCTGATATGCAAATTTACGGAATTCCTTTAATCAAAATTCCCCTTCCCCCCATTATCCCATCTGAAAAAAATGGCGCGACGAAACCCGAAAACTTTGTGGGGAAAAAAACAAGTAAGAGATATAAGATAACGACCTTAACGTTTGTCGAACTTTATCTGATTTTCATGGCGTGAAAATAATGGTAAATTTTTTTTCTAATTAGCTAAAACTTTGCCCATCATCTACAGAAATTGAAAAGTTTATAATTGAATTAGAATATTATATTAATATAAATTTTTTTAAAAGGTTTTCGTCATTTTGCTGCCATAAATATAATATAAATAAGATGACTATTAATAGTCTGATGACTATTAATAGGATAAGATAATATAGATTAAAATTAATTTTTTTATAAACTTTTTATATTATTCTATTATAATATCTTATTATAATATCTGATTAACACAATAAATAACATTATGAACAAAAAATGTTATTTATAATAATATTCACAAAATAAAATCTAGACAAGAATAAAAATCACAATTACTTATAATTATATAATTTAAAATAAAGTTAGAGGCAAAACAAAAATAATTTTTTATGTAATTTTTGATAAGACATTCATTATCTCACTCATGGTAATGAGGCCTATATTTATCGAATTCATTTAAAAACATATTTGCGACATGAAAAATGGAAAATAATGATACATATTATAGGCACTTTTAAATATCTTTTATGATAGTTCTAGAGAAAGTAAAAATGTAACAATTATTGTAATTGTTATATAATTGTAATTCCTTATGAGGGAATATTACAAAATTACATACAAGCGTACTCAAAATATATTTCTTATTATATTATCTGTTGACATTTTAAAGTCAAATTACAATAGATTATTTATCATTAAAGATTTTTAATAAGTTTGACACCGACTCTTTATCTATTAGAAAAATAAGATCTATTAGAAAAATAATTAAATAATAATAATCTCTTAGAAAAATTAACAAATTTTCTTATCTCCCTTTTCCTATGGTAAAATTATTCATTGTTATGTCATACGTGATAGTTTAATAATAACGGTGTCCTATGATCGATTATGAAAAATTTTTTTTACCATTATTTTCTGTATTTGTCCATGAAAAAAACTTTCCGCTCATCGCGATATCTCGATCTGATAGGCGATTTCTTCATGAATTTTTTTCGTTCTGAAGTGATTCTCACGCTTTCACGTCATAACAAGATAACAACAAGCGTGAATCTCTCGTAAAAGTCTTTGCAATTTTTAGATTATCACATAATTATAATATAAGGATATATAATTAATATATCAAGATTTTATTATATTAAATATTTTTTATTATTGCGAGCGTTCTCAACGGCTGTGAGACTTTTATCTCTGCAACATTCTTACGAGACCGATACGATACAGCGCGACGATTCCCTTGTCGCGGAATGTCAATCGTAAATTATGCGGCACGTGATCATCGAGCCGGCTTCGAGGCAAGATCACATTTTTAATCCACGAGGAAAACCAGAGCAGCGATCGCGTGACAGATCGCGAACGAAGAGATCGCCGATCTTGATGTGATCACACAAGGCTTATTATTATTGACGATTCTTCGATGCGCAAATATTTGATTGACGTATTTGCACGACGAGAAAGAAGAACTCATTCGGTCGCGAGATTAGCCGCGAATCGTGCGATAATCATTTTCGCGATAATGGAGAAGCTTGTCAAGTGGAAGCTCCTCCGGAAATCGGGTGTGTAACGGTATGCCGGAAGCCTAAAGACTGGGGGATTGAAATTTCCGCGCGTTAATTCGATATGCCAACGTGCCAAACAACCACCGCCGCGCTTTAGCAATTTAAAT